TCATCTGCCAGGAAGCGGTGGCGGGGCGACCCTGCTATGACACCCTGATCTGTCCCGCCTGCGCCAGCGCCTGGTTCCACCGCCGCTGCATCCAGGTAGGTGGCATCGCCCCCAGCCCCAGACGTGATCAGCCCTGTCATTGCCCCGTCACCCAGCTCCCGTGGGGCGAGCGGGGACCCCGCACCGCTGATGTTGATGGCAGCTCTGCCCCAGGGCCAGGCGCTGCGCTCTGCCCTCTACCACTTCCGCTGCCCGCTCTGCCAGGACATGGCGACCTTCCAGCAGGAGATGTTTCGCCTGGGCATCAAAATCCCCGACAGGTCAGTGCCCTCCCTCCTGCTTCCCTCCTGCTCCAGGATGCTCTGACCAGTCCCCTCCGGCCTCCCTGGGTGCCAGCAGGGCCCCCAGCTGAGCATTCCTGGCTCCTCCAGGGATGCTGCCTGGGAGGAGGAGGAGGGGGCCTTCGCGGGCCATTACGAGCGGCACAGCTCCTGTGATGCCAGCCAGTGCCTCTGCCCAGTGGGACGGGAGGAGTGGGAACAGAATGGGTGAGTGTCAGTGACCCCGGTCCCCACAGTTCCAACGAGGACACGATGCCTTCATCTCCTCCTTGGGGCAGGGCTGGAGGTGCTCCAGGACGCCGAGCCAGGCATGGCGCAGGGAGCGTGCCGGCAGCTCGGCCGGGGCTGCCTGGGGGGAGCAGGGTGGAGGTGGGCTCGGCACAGCACCGGGGCTGGCAGCCCACAGCTCAGGGGCCTTTGGTGGCAGCGGGTCCCCTTGCTCCCCCAGGCCCTGGAGACTCCTGCTCTGTGCCTCCTGTGGCTCCTGTGGGACCCCCCAGCTCTGCTCCGCCCTGGGGGAAGATGCTGACTCCTGGGAGTGCGGTGACTGCAGGGACATGGGCACAGGTGGGGGGGGCGGCGGGGGGGGACAGGGTGCCCAGGGCCACGTGGCCACCACAGGCACCCGGAGCGTGGGGAGAGGAGCGGGGCTGTGACCCGGGGGGGCAGGGAGCGCGGCATGGGCTGCTTGTGCTCCTCCCCC